CAGAAGACTGTGGATGGCCCCTCTCGGAAGTTGTGGCGTGATGGTTGCAGGGCTCTCCAGAATATCATCCCTGCCTCAACTGGTGCAGCCAAGGCTGTGGGCAAGGTCATCCCTGAGCTGAATGGGAAGCTTACTGGCATGGCTTTCCGTGTCCCCACTGCGAATGTGTCAGTCGTGGATCTCACCTGTTGTCTGGAGATGGCTGCCAAATACGATGATATTAAGAAGGTAGTGAAGCAGGCCTCAAAGGGCTCCCTGATACACCAAGCACCAGGTCGTCTCCTCTGACTTCAACAGTGACAGCCATTCTTCCACCTTTGATGCTGGGGCTGGCATTGCCCTCAGTGACCACTTTGTCAAACTCATTGCCTGGTACGATAGTGAATTTGGCTACAGCAACAGGGTGGTGGATCTTATGGCCCACATGGCCTCCAAGGAGTAAGAACCCCCAGATCACCACCCCAGCCAGAGCATGAGAGGAAGAGAAAGGCCTTTAGCTGCTGAGGTTCCCCTGCCTACTCAGTCCCCCACCTCACTGAGAATCTCTCCTCAACACAGTTTCCACCCAGACCCCCTAAAGAACAGGAGGGGCCCAGGGAGCCCCACCTTGTCATGTAACATCGATGAAGTTCCCTGAATTCAAATAAATAAATAAATAAATCCTGTCCTACCACTGATCTGTGGTCCACGGATTCATTCTTCAAATCACTGAGACCAAGAACCTACTGAAGAGCGAAATTCCAGTATCACTAGCACTCTGGGAGGCCGAGGTGGGTGGATTGCCTGAGCTCACAAGTTCGAGACTAGTCTGAGGCAGAGTGAGACCTCGTCTCTAAAATTAAAAAAAAAAGAATTTAAACTAATTAATTTGACTTCAGGGCTGTTCCCTAAATCATTACACTCTACTGTTTAAAGCTTAGACTTTTTTTTTTTTTTTGAGACAGAGTCTCACTTTATTGCCCTCAGATGAGTGCTATGACATCACAGCTCACAGCAACCTCCAACTCCTGGGCTAAGGCTATTCTCTTGCCTCAGCCTCCCAAGTAGCTGGGACTACAGGCACCCACCACAACGCCCAACTATTTTTGTTGCAGTTTGACCAGGGCTGGGTTTGAACCTGCCACCCTTGGTATATGGGGCCAGCACCCTACCCACTGAGCCACAGACACTGCCCAGTTTAGACTTTCCTTTAAGGGCATTTGGGAACTATGGAAGGGTATTGAGCAGGGGAGTCACAGCCAGCTTTGCACATTATATCACTTTGGAGTGGTGCAAGAATGAATCAGAGGAATGATGCTGAAGATGGGAAGACCAGGTAGGGGACAGTGGCTATGAAGATTTAGGTAGAGGCAGGGTCTTTGTTGCTCCTGAACCCTGGGCAGTATCTAGCTTGACATAGGATCCAGGTCTGCCTCCCCCACCAGACTGCAACTGGGGGACAGGGAGAGTTCCACACTGGGCCCAGCATAGAGGACATACCTGATATGGATTTGATTGACGGGTACACAAATCTGAGGGAGTCCTCTTTCTTCCCTGCTCCCATATTACCTTTCTGACTCAGACTATAAGCCCAGCCACACTCTCCTCCCATCTCCACAGGCCTGGCCTTCTGAAGGACGCTGTATAAGGAATGTCACAGAGCCAGGCACCCTGAGGATGGAGCCCGGTGATCCTATCACCATCATCGAGGGCAGGTGACAGTCCCATGCCTCCCAAGCATCTCCAGGAGGAGGACACCCTCTTAAGCCTCCTGACTCCTAGACCCTGATCTCTTCTCCCCAACTCCTTGAACCCTGATCTCTCTTCACTGAGCCCTGAGTGCTCTAACACAGTCCTGGCTTCCCTCCTGGAGCCACCAGTGGCCTGCAGAGCCCTTCTGCATTAAGGAGGGGCTTCCCTTCCCCTAGGCAGATACAGCTGCAAGGCACATAGCCTGGTGAGCTGAATGTGGGCTGCAACCCAGACCCCACCCATCCTCTTGCTCTCATCCCAATCACCAGCTCCTCTTCCCACAGCCCAGACTCCACAGTCTGGAAGGGCCAGAATGGTCGCACCTTCAAAGTGGGCAGCTTCCCAGCCTCAGCAGTGACACTGACGGACTTGTCTGGCTTACCAGCTACTTATCCAGTCCATAGAGGCTCCCCTGCTCAGGGAGAACAGCCCCGAGGAAGAACAGATGGGTGAGGTCCTGAAGAGGTTGGGGGATACAGATGGGCTAGGGGAGCCAAGTCTAGCAACTTTATGGAAGGGAAGCTTGAAACAGGACCAGGGTGAAGCTGGGCATGATCCTGAGCTTTGCTTCCCAGCTAGAGCTTCCACCATGGTCTCCTAGGTGCCCTAGAGAGTTTCTTTGAGCAGGAACATTGATATGTGGAGTAGAGAGGGGTGGTGTTGAGGATAAACTGGATCATTCTCTGATAGGAACAGAAAAAAGACAAAGCTTCGGGATCTACCTCCAGCACAGGGCCAGAGAAGGAATGTGCCCCTGCAGAGGATGAAAGGTGGGCATGGTGGGACTCCAAGGAGGTCCAGAACAAGCTTCCAGTTCTGTCCCCCTGCCCTGAATATATATGCCTTTGCTTATGTCCTCCTTTCCCTAAATTCAGTCTGTTGGCATCCTAGCTACACTGACAGATGGGAAGCATCCCTGCCTTCCCTACTGAATAGAACCTCCCCACTGACCTCTGAGCTCTCGATTCTTTGGGCCCTCAGTTGCCTAAGCCTTGGTTTCCATTTGCATGCCTGTTTTATTGTCCCACCTAACACATGCATCATCCTAAGGATAGGGCTGGCTAGTTTAGCTATGTATGTTTGCAAAACCATCCAGCTCTGCACAGATGAAGACAGAGAGCAAGAAGGCAGGACCAGTACCTGGGCCTCCTCTCAAGTTCTTTCTTTCTCAACTTCACAGGCATTTCCAAGAGTCTGGAGTCAGTTCTTTCCCTGGGCACTCGCCCCACAGGAGGTGGTTCAAGCCCCCCTGAACTTCGACAAACCAGAGCTGTGCCCCAGGGACACCCAGGCCTGCCTCCACACCTACCTTTTGCCTCCAGCTCCTCTCAGCCCAGCCAGCCCCCTAGGGAGCGACCTTCCTGGCCCAAAAGAGAACCTCCACACAATCACCCCATGGGGGCACTTGGAGCCAGTAAAGCCTCTGTTCCCTCTAGAGGCCTCCTGCCCAACCCTGAGTTGCAAAGGAAGATTACAGAGGTGAGGTTTCACTGAAATGGCCACTGTCATCCAAAAAAGGCTACAGGCTGGGGCAGGAAACTAAATAAGGTTCTGTCCTCCCTCAGATGGAGCTGAGTGTACATGGAGTCACCCACCAGGAGTGCCAGGCAGCCCTAAAAGCCACTGGGGGAGATGTGGATTCTGCCATCCGGAACCTCAAAGTAAAGCCAGATCCTTCTCTGGGACTACCTCCTCCCCTGTCCCTGACACCTAGTGGTCATCTCCACTGTCTCCTGCTCCCACAGGTAGACCAGCTTTTCCATCTTAGTAGCCGGTCCAGAGCCGACTGCCGGAGCATCCTGGAGCATTACCAGTGGGATCTCTCAGCTGCCAGCCGCTATGTCCTAGCCCGGCCCTGAGCTCTGCCTCCTTGGGCATGTACACCAGAATAGAAACCCTCAGTCCTTCAGGGCCTAGTCTTTGGGACCAAGCAGAACCAGAACAAGATCCTGACAGGGGCAAACTTTTTCACCTGGGGAAATCCCACCCACTACAGGCAGGTAGAGGAGGAGCCTGAGGTCAGGCAATGACAAATGTTTCCTCCCTATCCTACCCTTGGCCTCTGAGGCCAAGAAGGATCTAATCCACTATGCCCACCACAGTCTAAAACAAGAGGAAGACTTGGAGGAAATGAGCTACTATACACCCTGTCCAGAGGAAGCTTCTACCTGCTACAGAAGATGATGAAGTGGCCACACTGGACCATGAGAATAGCCATCCTGAACTGTCATCAGTCACCACACTGGACTCTGAGCTGTCATCCTGGATGATGGAAGCAGCCATACTGACTTGGGACACACAGGGCCACTGTAGGGGATGACAATTACTCTTTTGAACTCAAGGTCATTTGATCTGGTAGCATGGATTATGAAGCAGCCAGCCCCTGCCCAAGCACAGCTATCACATTCCCCTTTTGTCCTATACCAATTCTTTCTTCTACTCCTTCCCCCATTATATATACATCTTCTACCCCTTTCCCCATTATATATACATCTTCCAATGTCCAAAAAGTTACAAAGTTTATATGAATATAACATACAAAGATGCAGCCTCCTTCCTAGGGCAAGGGAAGGAAGGGTGGTTAAATAAGGCACAGGACGCCGCAGCAAGCACCAGCAATGGGCAGGGCCCAAGGGGAAGAGGAAACTGGCACTGCCCGCCCACCCCACAGCTACTGGTAGGAAGGTGGGGACCCTCTCAAGGTGCCATGGTCTGAGGCTGAGCTACTTGGCCAAGCTGATGCAGGTGGCTATATCTGCCATCTTTGGTGCCACTTGCCCTTCCCCACACCAGCTCTGTTGCATAACCATAAAAACCAAGTCCTGGGATCCAAAGGCCTCCTCTGGAGCAGAGGCTATCCCCCAAAGGGGGTGGGAGGGAGTGAGTAGGGAAAGTTTGAAAGCCGACATGCCTATGTGCTAAGGGACTGCTAGGAGACAGTGGCAGGAGGTAGCAGGGGGCAGGCTTTCTCATACATACTCTTCTGTGGAGACCACAGGGGCTGGAGGCCAGGGAGGAGGGTAGGGATGGGCCCCTCATCTGTCCCCTGCAGTATACATGGAGGAAAGGTGCTGCCTCTGAGGAGGGGCCAGGCCAAGGCAGGTGACCATCTTGAGTTCTGGTTGAAGCGATGGTCTCATACCAAAGTGGTCTCTAACTGGTGATAGCAGAGGGCCCAGTGCCGCCTCGCTTCTTGAAGAACATGTAGTCCTGAGGGGAGGCCACTCTTAACAGGAGATCTGCTGGGCCAGCCTGGCTCAGCTCCCATAAACCAACTCTGGAACCTCAACCCCCCATACATTGTCTCAAATCTCATAGCAAGAGGGCAAGAAGTACAAAAGTTTCATGTGACAGCAAAGGAGAAGCAGGAGGGGACAGGCAGCCAACTCACAATGAGAAATGTGGCTCCCAGCAGCACAGCCTTCACCCTCACGTCCAGGTCCAGCGGGAACTGCAGGCCAAAGTCATCTGCATCTGTGAGGGCTTCTCTGAGCAGTCCCCCCCACTGCTTGCTGATGCGGCCCACACTACGGGATTCATCCCTTGTCTTCACCTGTCAAGAGGGAGGGAGGAAGGACCCAACTGGAGAGCTGACTGCTCATATCTGCCTCCAATCCGACTCCCACAGTTACCCACCACGTGTGAATGTGCAGGATCTACATAGTGAATCTTCCCATCCAGAGATCACCCAGTTATCACCTTCTAAAATGGTTCCCGGCTCGGCGCCTATAGCTCAACCAGCTAAGGCGCCAGCCACGTACACCTAAGGTGGCGGGTTCGAATCCCCAGCCCAGACCCGCCAAACAACAATGA